AGAAATCTTGCCTGGCCTTCCATCAGGCAGATAAAGACTTGAAAGTATGTTGAAGTAGTTTCTTCAACACCATCTAAGCTTACAGAAAGAATTACATTAAATACCTAGGAATCTTCCTTCTACATGCATCGACAAACAGTAGAAATTTAAAACACCACCAAATGCATCCTAACACTTAAAAAAATTGTATTTTTGGCTCTAATTAGATTTGTCACATGCTTGTATCAATTTATCTTAAGTGGAAACATAGAAGTATGAAAAAAAATAATCTGTTATACAACAAATTGTCATCAAATACCCCTCCTCATTCCCCTTTAACAAATGGTTTTGCTTGCCTTTTTTTTTTTTTCCCTGATGCACATAAATGTATCCAACCTACAATGAAGCAAAGGGGATGGGAGTCGGCTAAGCGGCTTGTGGAGAAGAAATTATTTTTTTGGCCTTGTAAGGGCTTTCTTCTTCCTCCACAGAGCCTCAGCTTGAACGTACCACCCAGCTAGACCCGGGGTGGTTGTTTGGCTTGAACCTGCCATGAGATGGGGGTGATATACAGAGGCATTAAAATTAGCAAACACACACTGTATATACAGTGTAAGGGGTAGAACCCTCTACTAAGGATTTCGATTTGATCTGGGTTAAACCACGCGAGCGACTCCCAGTAACCTTTACCTCTCAATGTCCCAGCAGTCTTTATCTCTCGCTGCCCGCCGGAGTTTCGTCCCATATCGACCGAGAGTCGTTTCCTCCTCACCTAACATATAAGCCCTTGTACTCAAAGGAGGAGATACCCACTAGCGACCTGATTAGGTGCCTAGTGGGTACCTCCTCTTTTGAGTGCAAGAGCTTATATGCGAGGGGAGAGACGACTCTCAATCGATGTGAGATAAAATTTCTGCAAGCACCAAGAGGTAAAGGTTATTGACGATCGCCCGCGTGGGTTAACCCAAGTCACGCCGAAATCGAAATCCTTATCCTTAGTAGAGAATTCTACTCCTTACAGAATTGATCAGAGTCCAGAATCAATATAGAAAATCCGTGAACAGCTCGAAAGAGAAATCAACCAAGATTTGCTGAAAGAATCAAAGTCTACCCCAGCTACTTTACCTTCAAGCATGTGTCAAAAGAAACCCTGAGGTTGCACCCTGCTGCACCATTTCTGCTTCCACGCCGTGCAGTTGAGGCATGCCAAGTGATGACTTATACCATTCCCAAAAATGCTCAAGTGGTCGTGAACGTTTGGGTTATTGGGAGAGACCCCATGATTTGGGAAGACCCATTGAAATTTAAACCAGAGCGGTTCCTAAACTCGAAAGTGGACTTCAAGGGAAATGATTTTGAACTGTTACCCTTTGGTGGTGGAAGGAGAATCTGCCCTGGCTTACCAATGGCTACAAAGGGTGTAACTTTTGTTCTTGCTTCATTGATCCATTTTTTCGATTGGTCTCTTCCACATGTCAACCCGTTTTTCGTTCGTTTATCCGTTTTGAAAAATTAATATAATAATAAATTAATAACGAGGGAAAATTTTTGGCGAGAAGCTACTTTTATTGCCCAGAAGCTATAAGGAGAAAGAGTTTTTGTCCAGAAGCTACTTTTATTGTCCAAAAGCTATAAGGAGGAGGAGGACATCTTGAAATCTTCCGCATTGCCGGTGGCAGAACCTCTCTCTCCCTCTGAAAGCTCCTTAGTCTGTGCAAAATTGCAGGATAGTTTCTTTTTGCTTAAATTTTACGTCGACATATTCAAATGAAAGAGACTTTTCATATCCCTATAAAACGATGCAATCCCTTCCTTTAATTATTTAACCTTCTCAATTGTTTTAGTAAGCGGCAATTAGTTAAAAATCTTTTAATTAAGGGAGTATAGTTGGTGTAGATAATTAATAGAGTTTAAAATTTAATAGGATAGTTTTAATAGAAAAATTTTAATAAAATTAAATGGATTAAACGAGCCGTGGTACTCGTTTATTAAATGGTTCGTGTTCGTATTTTAATTTTTTACCCATTTATTAAATGTGTTATGTACGAATTCATATGTTTTCTACCCCGTCACTCGTTTAACCCAACACGTTTGACACCCCTACTTAGAAAAAAGTTGTTACTTCTTTTGGTTTAGCCATGGCATTGAGACATTCGTGAGGGACAGATGAGTAGATGAAGAGAGAATGAGAGAGGGGTGGTGTGTGTGGGGGGTATAATTATTTTTTTATAGTCAATACCTATTAACCCTTCTGAAACCCACCCTCCAACCCCAAACAAAAATGGGATTTCATGAAACCCATGAATATAGGTTTAAATTACGAGTCTAAAGTGGGTTGAATTTGATGACCTATGCTAGAAATGTAATTGTCAAACATGAAGAAATTTTATTCCCATTCCATCTTTCAAATCTCTCTCGTCTTATATACCAAACTGGCTCTTAAAGTTTACTCGACAAAAGTTCAAACGGTGGAAACATAGTAAGATTAGGTATAAAAGAACCTGCTACAAAATGATTTTTCTGCAGCCTTCAATTCCTTCTGACAAATGACTTTGCTCGACTTATTTTATCCACGGGGATCAATCCAACCTATTTTTTTGTTCATCGGTTGTAGTGTCCGGACATTTTTATACATACCTCAATTCATTTCTTTTATACATATCTTAACTAATTTTTTTTTTTGATCTGATCAAAAAACAAGTCATCTACGATAAAATTAAGGTATTCATGAGTGATAAATTTATCATTACTTGATTCTAAGAAATTATCAAAATTTATACTCAAAACATTTGATTTAACTTGTTGTTGGATTTTTTTTGGAGTCTAGTTTGTGTGTATGATTCGAATAATGACCCCACCCAAAATAATATTGCGTGATTTTCAATAAAAAAAATTTTAAGGCTTGGTCCATGGAGCTACTTTGGTGTTTAGGGTTTGATTGTAATAGAAAACCCTTTTTATATTCCACTCTCTCTACTTTTTATAGTGAAATTCGGCAGTTTCGTGGACGTACGCAAATAGTCGAATCACGTAAAATCTTTGTGTTTTGTTCTTTCTTATTTCTTATTATTTTATGTTCTTAGTTTATTTTTCGATTGTATGTATTTGTCTATGAATTTAAAGCGTGTTAAATCCCAACACCTACCACGCTACGAGGGTAATTTATGGTGGCGGTGACATCTACAAACACAAGTTTACATATTTGTATACACATATGAGCCAGCAGGGCCGACCCAACCTCATTGTAGAAAAAGCTTAGACTTTAGGCCCCATAATTTGAGTCATATAATTAAGAAAAATTTGGAGGCCGGTCCTCCTATATGGACTTGTTTAGACTTAAGTCCGTCAAAGAAACTTATTTGTTATGAAGGTTATGTTTTGTCAATTTTATCATACTATCCCTTCTCTTTAGAAATGGAATAAAACTAAAAATTAAAAATTCCTAAACCTTAGGAGTTTAATTAACATTAAAATTTTTTATCTTTCATATCTATCTATATTCATATATAGGTTAAGAGTTTGATTAACATTAAAATTTTTTCTCTCTCTTATCTGTCTATATATAGGTTATACATATCTATATATATAGTAATATTAAAAATAAAAAATAGTAACATTCAAATATAAAAAAAATTATCATTTGGACACAAAAAATAATACATTTAAACACAAAAAATAGTAACATTTAAATATAAAAAAAATTGAAACATTCAATATTAATATTTTTAAACAGTAACAACAGTAACATGTTCAACAAAAATAGTAACATGCTTAACAAAAATTATAACATACTTAACAATAAATATTTCTCTCAAATTCAAACGCAAAAAATAGTATCATTTAAATACAAAAAATAGTAATATTCAAAAAAAAATAGAAACATTGAATATTAATATTTAGGAAAATAATAGTAGTAATATGGTCAACAAAAACAGTAACATGCTTAAAAATAATAGTACATGAACAATAACATACTTAACAAAAACAGTAATATAATAAAAAAAATAGTAACATGAATTTGAATTTTACTATTCAAATTCATAGTAACTTTTTTTTTTGTATTTGAATGTTACTATTTTTTTTTAATAATATTACTATATATATATATATATATATATATATAAGAGAAAATTTTTTAATATTAGTCAAAATTTTAACCTATATATGAATATAGATAGATATGAGAGAGAAAATATTAACTTCCTTTCAAGGAAGGTGTTTTTGAGATAAAAAAAAAAAGTTGACTTAAGTCATTATATATAATTTTAAATATGGAGTTAGTCTCTTATAAGTTTCCTCGCAGGACTTATCTCCAAACAAGTATATCTAAAAGGACTCACTTTCAATCACTTTCATTTATAATTTAACCACATCAAAATTTTAACTTTACAAAAATTTTAAGTACTATAAAAAGGCCTCAAAAAATTTAAGTTCAATTAAAATTTTTAATTTCAATAATTTGAGCTCATGATTCAACCTATAATATTTTAAAATTAAAAATCAATAGTTACAAAAAAAAATACTAAACATATAAAAAATTTACTCCAAAGTCAAGTTATATTTATCTCACATTTACTCTATTTTGGTAAAAAACAAAAGTAAAAATTAAAACATCTCTATCGATAACATTGATTCTTTCTCTATCACACACACATATAATAAATAAAAAATAAATTAATTTTTAATAAAATTTTAATATTAAAAATAAAAAAATTTCATTCGATATTACCGTTTTAGGTCTCAAAATGCTTTGAGCAGCTCATATGAGGTAAGTAATCACCCTCCCCATTTCATATATTAACTGTTGCATCATTGAGTGGTTGAGGTGTTTGCATCAACACCTTATCACAAACAAACCAGTCTGATTAATAGTATATGTAACTGCAACAGGCTTGAGCTAGTTCATGAAAGGCATGGCTGTTGTAGTTGAAGGAATTTGCCTCTTCTTTCCTGTCTTTCTCTTGTCCCTTCTTTTCATTTTCAAGTCCTTTCAATCCAAACCACACTTCTTCCCCCAGGACCAAATCCATGGCCTATCTTGGGCAATATTTTTCATATGGGAAAGCAGCCTCATGTGTCTCTGACCAACTTTGCACAAACCTATGGTCCAATTATGTCACTAAGACTAGGAACACAGGTGATGGTTGTTGGATCATCACCTGCTGCTGCTGTGGAAATCCTCAAGACTCATGATCGCGTGTTATCTGCAAGGTATGTTCCTGATATGCTGCATGTGAAGAGCTTGGAACTCAATTACTTATCGATGGGGTGGGCTCATGAATGCAATGATGGGTGGAAGTATTTACGAACATTATGTAGAACTGAACTTTTTCTCAGGTAAAGCAATGGAGTCTCAAGCATGTTTGAGAGAGAAAACAGTAATGGACATGGTGAAGTTTTTGAGTCGAAGGGAGGGTAAGGTATTGAATGTTGGGGAATTAGTATTTTCTACCGTTTTCAATATGTTGAGTAATATTTTAATAGCTAGAGATTTCATAAGCTTGGAGGAAGATAGAGTAGATTGTGGGATGAAAGGTCTTGTAAGGACAGTAATGGAGTTGGGTTCTTCCCCAAATTTATCGGACTTTTATCCAATCTTAAGTGCATTAGATCTTCAAGGTCTCAAGGCAAAGTCAATGGAGTTGTTTGTAAAGATTTTGTGCTACGTGGAAATCCATCATTGAGAAAAGAAGAGCAAGAAAATCTGAAAATTATTCAGGCCGACGAGATTTCTTGGACACCCTTCTGGACAATGCTTTTACAAATGATCGAATCAACCAACTTTGTGTGTTTGCTCTCTCTCTCTCCCCCCCCCCCCCCCCCCCTTGCTTCCATCATGCTAGAGAAGCTACCGGTTAGCGCCTAGAATAAATCTTTAACATGGTTCTGTATTACAATGAATGTCTTGGCAGGAGCTGTTTTTCTGCTGGTACAGACACTACTACCTCCACAGTTGAGTGGGCAATGGCAGAATTGATCAGAAATCCAGAAAAATTAAGAAACTACGTGAAGAGCTTGAAAAAGAAATCAAACAAGATTTTCTAAAGGAATCCAGTCTACCTCAGCTGCCTTATCTTCAAGCCTGTGTTAAAGAAACCCTGAGGTTGCATCCTCCTGCACCATTTCTGCTTCCTCATCGAGCTCTCGAGCCATGCAAAGTGTTGAATTATGTCATTCCCAAAAATGCTCAAGTGGTAGTGAATGTTTGGGCTATCGGGAGAGACCCCGTGATTTGGGAAGAACCATTGAAATTTAAACCAGAGCGGTTCCTAAACTCGAATTTGGACTTCAAGGGGAATGATTTTGAACTTTTGCCCTTTGGTGCTGGAAGGAGAATCTGCCCTGGCTTACCAATGGCTGCAAAGGGTGTACCTTTTGTTCTTGCTTCATTGATCCATTTCTTTGATTGGTCTCTTCCACATGGAAATGATCTTAATGAGCTAGACATGACTGAGAAGTTTGGCATAACATTGCAGAAGGAACAACCTCTACTCCTCATCCCCAAAGCCAGAAAATGACTCCTAGAGCCATTCGATATTTGTCACTTATGTTTTGTTGTATATCTTGTATAAGAAGTGTAATAATTTGACTTATCAATTTTTATCCAAAAGTTGGCTCAATGTTGTGGTGCTAATATGATGTAAAATCAACTCGGTCCACTTGAAAAATATCTGCTTTAGCTAAATCTGGGTTTTGCTGACAGCTAAATGGTATGGAACCCTGCAAAATGCATTGCAGTCCTATGGTCAGTAGACATGGCTTATGGACAACGTTGCCACACATGACTTCTTTCAGTTGAGTCAGGGTTGAGCTTCATTCAAGTTCAGTCCAAGTTTAGTCATGCAAAGTATCAGATAATTTAGCAGTTTAAGCAATTGTTCATGGAAAGAGAGAAATGTGGGACTGTGGGAGTGCCGAAGACATCTGCCCTAAAATGTTTGGTCTAGTATGCTTGGTAATTCCACTTCAGTAGATGATATATTCCACTGAAGATAGTTGACACCATGAATTTGCCCATGTGGGTTCAAATTTTATTCTTTTTTAAGTAATGAAAAGAAGAAGAAAACCTCCCTTTCCATCATGTTAGAGAGATGCCGATTAGCACCTAGAATACAACCTTAATGTGGTTCTGTTTCACAATGAATGTCTTGGCAGGAGCTGTTCACGGCTGGTACAGACACTACTACCTCCACAGTCGAGTGGGCAATGGCTGAATGGATCAGAAATCCAGAATCAATGAAGAAAGTGTGTGAAGAGCTTGGAAGAGAAATCAACCAAGAATTGCTAAAAGAATTCACTCTACCTGAGCTACCTTACCTTCAAGCCTCTGTAAAAGAAACACTGTGGTTACACCCTCCTGGACCATTTCTGCTTCCACACCATACCTTCCTGCCCTGCAATCAGAATTATACCGTTCCTAAAAATGCCCGAGTTATAGTGAATGTTTGGTCAATTGGGCTTGATCCCATTACATGGGAAGACCCTTTGAAATTTCAACCAGAGTGGTTCCTAAACTCTACTTTGGACTTTAAAGGGAACAATTTTGAACGCTTACCCTTCAGTGCTGGAAGGAGAATCTGCCGTGGCTTACCAATGGCTGCAAAGAGTGTAAGTTTTGTTCTTGCTTCATTTCTTTGATTGGTCTCTTCCAAATGGAAACGGTCCTAATAAGCTAGACATGACGGAGAAGTTTGGTATGACATTACAGAAGGAGCAACCTCTACTCCTCATCCCCAAAGTCAGAAAATGACCTGTATAGCTATTCCATCTTTGTCACTTGCTCCGTCAATTTAACAAACTGTATGTCATGCTGTATGTCTTATACAGCTTGTATAAGTTGTATTACATTTGTAATAAATTGCCTATATCAATATTATCTAAAAGTTGACTCAATGTAGTGGTGCTAAGCATAAAAATCTCTTGTTTAAACATGAAGTTACACTTCTGTCCAGAAAAGCTCATCGTCTTGTAGCCATGACCACAGATCGTTTTGCAGCCATAAACGTAGATAGAAAAAGACCCCAGGTATCTTGCAGATTATGAAGTCATTTAGGTGGCCACGCCTTATGTTTGATATAAATCCATTTCTAGTCATCTTAAAAACTTTTGCTGGTTTGTCTTTTCTGTTTATTCAGAAAACTAACCAGCATATTGATTTATCAGGAAGGGATCAGTTAATCCCGAGTAAGTGCTTTTTCTGAAGCTGTTGCAGACAGAAAGAGAGGTATGGAATGCCCGAATCTTATCATGGATAAGCATAGGCTTTTAAAATCTAATATTTCCTTGTATGTTTGGGCTTTACTCTCAAACAACTACAAATTATTTCTGTTCACTTGGTAGGGAGCAGTTAATGACTGGCACTAGGAATACTAAAGTCTCTGACAAGCCATTGTATATCAATATCTATCTGAAATTTCAAGCTCTGCCATAAAACTGCTTCATACATGATATGGTTTGGTTGCTGTTTCAGCAAGACAACTGCGATGACCCCTGCTGACAACACAATGTGGCATAGTATGATTGGTTCCAATCATTTTCTAGTTAATTTAGGATAAAATGATAAGCAGGTAAGGATCGGAAGGTAATGCTGGATATCAGGTATAATCACTCTGAATATGTAAACTGTATGCAATATCAAAATTAGACAGTAAAAATAACGAATTTAGGACTGAAACAAATGAAATCATTCTACTTATAATAGTCATACTTTTCAGTACATGTTACAAAGACAACTTTGACTACTTTAAACCTTCAACAAAAGAATACAGAGCTAAAATGAACCACTAAGAAAGAATTTCAGTATACAAAAGAACCAAAGATTAAAGGCTAATGGACTCCATAAACTAAAAACGAAATCTTGACATCTGGCCTGAGAATAACAGAAACCTGTACCGAATGTTGACATATTTCCTACATATAACGAATGTGTTAACCCAGTTCATCATCTTCTCCAAATTCATGTCAACATTCGGTACAGGTTTCTCCATCTTGCCCTTGCTTCTCCACCCTATAATTTGCAAAAGAATACACCTTCAACAGCATTTCGCTCTGAAGCAATTCTCTCTCGCTGATTCCCAGGCATCGGAACCCTCCTTGTTCCATCAACTTTTGCCACCTCCCAAAACTTGGATGCCTTTCAAACCTATCACGTCCTTCACAGGCAATGATATTACTAATTTCATGTGCAAACATCTCTATTTTGACTCATACTGGGCCTTCTATCGGAAGGCTAGAATCAAGAGAGTCGAATATTGCAGAAGTACTTCAGTGAATTGGATAGCCTTCTTTCAAAGCTATGGTCATTGTGCTTAGCTTCTTGCTCTGCCATGAGAACAACTGTGGGGTTTGTGATTCAAATTAGACCCAAAAACTTCCCAAGTGCTCGGGTAGTATCATCATAAAGCATCTTATGCATCTGGAATATACAATCCATGGCCACAATTTCTTTCTCCTTCACATGAAGCATCCACCGTCTCACATCTCTATACTGTCAACAACTGGATGGTATTCGAAGGGAAGGTTCAATGCCTCAGCAAATCCAGGAAGTCTATCTACTGTTTCAATCAGCTCTTGCTTGGATTCACCTATACCAGTGATTCTAACATGGCTTGGTGGATTAGTCCTAGAGGCCAAACTCATAAACAAACTAGACCAACGGGCCTTTGATCCAATGATATTCTTTGTCTCGTAAAAGCTGTCTTCTTAAGGTCAAGGATTCAAGTCCCCATCCCCCTCCCCCTCCCCCCCTCCCCTACCCCTAAAAAAATAATAAAAATAAAAAAATAAACAAACTAGGCCATTGAAGTCCTTGCTTAATATCAAAATTAATAACGTGAACCCTGTCCTTCCCTTCAGAGTTCTCAGCAGAATCTCATTTGATGTGAAATGAATGAACTTTGGAATTGGGCTCACCTGGTTCAGTAGCCTTAATGCAGTGCTGCTATCATCATCAACCCGATCATGCTCCCGAGGGGAAGTATTGCGAAAGATATGAGGCCAGAGCCTTGATCCTCGCTGAACTAAAGCCTCAGTAAAGTAAGCAATGACGCGGGTAATAAGAGATACAGTTGGAAAGCAAGCTTCCCCAATCTAGCAATAAAATGGTTAGTGCGTGTTATATTCTTTGAGCAAATTGCATCTACAAAAGCCATGCGGAAATTGATTAGCTCAAATCCATCATGCTCCCCATGGTCGTGGTCACCTGATACAACCTCAAAACTTTCATTTGGAATCGGGGCTAGACGTGCTCGATCCAGATGCCTCCTTCGCAGGCCGCCCCCCCCTGGCTTTTGTCAACATTCTTATCACCTAAGTCTGTAATCCGAGTCACTACCGATTCCACCCAAGGATTTTTTGAGAAAGGCAAAGGCAGTGAAATTGCGTCGCCAGGCAAAAAAACACACCCTTTCTTCCTCTCCTGAACATGATAGTAGAGAGAAAAATTGAGGAGAATTAAAGGTTCTAATGAGTGGAACAGATCCAGGCACCTCGACGAAACGAAAACCTCCCAGTACCCTGTTGGCCTAAACTCAAGCTATTGCCGCCTTCTAGGGAATCTTCAGATTTCCCATTTCCCCTTTTCCTCTTAACTCTGCTCATGCAGGACTCATAGTCAAAAGACCCCTGCTCAGCTGACCTCTTCAAGCTTTTACTTTTCTCCCAAAATTCATCTTTATTCTCTCTCATACCATCAATGAATACTGTTGACCAGTGGTTGCCGAAGGTGGGAGGTGGATGCTCTGGGTAAGAGAACTACTATTGGTCTTCACTTGAAAAAGCTTCCCTATTGAAAGACTCAATGGGCTGTGATCGTGAAGTGTTTTTCCTAGGGAAACTATATGGAAAATCCAAACTGTGTGTGCTCATTGAAGCGAAATGGCAATCTTCAAACTGTAGATGGTTCACTCCTCAGATTATGCCCTGGCAACAACAATGTAGGAGAACACCCAGCAAACATTTTCTAACTCTTCCAATTTCCTTTTCTTTCTTTCCTCTCTCTCTCTCTCTCTCTCTCTCTCTCTCTCTCTCTATAAATTGTAGAGTATGCATTTTTTACCCTTATATATGCTATGGAATATAGTTTATATATATAAAGAGAAATCAATAGAAACAGACTGTTTGTGGTAAGTTCTAAACAGGATTAAAATCAAACTAAAACACTAGGAATCCGCTGTCACAGCAGTAAAATCAAAGATAGACTGTCATACATGTGTGTGTCCCTATGTGA